ATTATTAAAACATTATAAATTATGATCTAATTAAATTATATGAAGTTAAGGTTCAATGGATAATTTTATAATTATATTAAATAATAAGTATTTTTTTTAAAAGATACAATAAAAAAACCTTTAAAATTGAGTTTTTAATTTTATATATAAAATTATTGTAGATCTGTTGTGACTTTTTATAATTAAAAAATAATAATTTAAAAAAATTATCAAATACATAAATATATAAAGGTATTATATAACTACATCAAAAAAAAACTTACAATCATAATCCCAAATGCTTCCTGAACCAATACTCAAAAGCCCTGTTTGGATACCATGTTACCCAAAAAAAGGATTCAAGGTAGCCAACTAAAATACAACTCACCTTAGCTTAAGAAAATTTTTTTTACATATAAATTGAAGTGCAATATAATTAGTTATAAAAAAATATAATATTTTTGTAATTTAATTAGTTACCTTAAAAAGTAAGCAATTATACTAATATAATTAACCTTTTTTTTATAATTAATTGTATCTACTTTTTAATAAAAAAAATTTAAAATACTTTTAAAAGAAAATGACATTATAATACATTATTTTTCTTTATAAGTAATTATATTACAATTCAATTTTTATGTTAAAAAAATTATTTTGGTCGATTATGCTAATTTCCTTTTTGAGTAAGATGATGACCAAACAGGCCGAAGATTGAAGTCGGCTAAAACTACTCTTCGTCTTCTTTATGGAGTTTGATATATGCTATGAGGAATGCTAGCTGCACTCGCCTTTTCCTGCACTCTCCAACACTCCCTCATCTAAAATAGCCACGTGAACTTTTCTAGTTGGAAACTTTGAATTGCGAGCCAAAGTTTGTTACGTGGACATTTTACATGAGAGAGTGTTGGAGAGTGCTGGAGAAAGGCGAGTGCAGCTAGCATTCCTCTATATGCTATTTTCATTCAAAAAAGACAAACATATATGGTACATGATTATCATCAACAGCAAGCCTTAAGCAGAGGCAAATAATAGAGTAGGGTACATGTCTTTCAACAGAGATAGTACGTAGTTCAGATAAATGCAGAGCTGAGGACCTGAGGCAAGTTCAGGAGCCACGTTCTTACCAACGTACATCGGAGAGACAGCAATGTCCCAACCCAATTCATCTAATATCATCAATAGGACCCACAACTAATAGAGAACCCGTGCTTGCGGATAACAACTCCAGTGTCATGTCTTTTTTTTTTTTGGTTAATATTGAAAAATTAAGAGAAGGGGGATTATATTATAATTTTTTTTGGTAGTAATATTATAAAATTTTAAATTATAGTGATATTTATGATATAAAGCACACCTTATCGCATTTGACCCTAGAGAATCAATGATATTAATCAATAAATAAGTGCATTATCTGTTCCTAAAAATGTTAAAAAAATAATAATAATAAAGCGCACCCTACCATTTAACTTCAGCTAAAAAAACAGCGCACACTACCATTACAACTATGCTATGGGTGTCATGTCTATTCTTCTTCTAAATCAAAACAAAGCAGCAGGATTGCATATTTGCTTATGAATCCTGATGTTATTACTTTTGGCATGCGCTGAAAATATGAATTTGTTATAGAAGGGTTATAGAAATCAAAATATTGCGGGAGACGATTAAAAAGTGTATAAGTAATATTCTAATTCATACAAAAATTTTAAATTACAATAACCAACTAAAAAGCATCTTCCTAAGATTGTGTTTGTGTTGTTTTCACATGGAAAGCTTTCTTTCTTTTTTTTTAATTTTAATGTTTCATATATAAAAAAAATATTACGTAATCTAAATTATATTAAATTATATAATTATAATTATTAAATAAGATAGATCCTTAATATTGGAATTCATTCATTATTTAATAATTTATATTTTACAATTTAATACAATTCAGACGATAAAATTAAGAATTTTTCACATGTAAAGCATTTTTTCACAACAAACTACTAAAAAAATATTAAGTCTGTTACAATAATTAAACTAATTTTAATTAATATTTTATATATTTTAATAATTTTATGGATATACAACACTAGCTATTATGTCATTATAAATTTTAATCTCAAATTTTTATCTAAAAACTTAATTAAAAAATCAAACTAAGACCAATATAGTTGAATAGAGGGAGTAGAAAAATGCAATCACTGAAATTTTAAATTTTATATTTGCTCATAGAATTTTCGGGATTAGGAGATATCCGTCCATGATTCGATGTACCGTTTAATGTTCAACTTCCTATTCTGTCAGTTTTTTAAATATTTTTTAAGTCCTAAATGGTTTTAGTAATTTTTTTATTAATGCTCATTTAGATTTCTTTCTCCGATTTTTAACCCATAATCTTAAAATCATATGTTGTATACCCTAAACTCTAAAAATTGAATACTAAAAATCTAAATCCTAAAAACATTTTTGAACACCAAACTCTAAATGACTAAACAGTAATACTCTTAACATTCGACTCTAACTCTCTTTTTATTATTTTTTATTATTATTTTATTTGTTTATGTAATAAACCCTTGCACTTTTACACCTTAATAGTAGTATGTCTATATAAGCTTGGTTCCCCTGCCAGCATTGCTAGCTATCTCCTCCTTTCTCTTTTGGGCCGGGGAAGGTCCAAACATGGCTTTAATACTTGGAAACTTCTCCTTTCAACGTTTCTCTTCATCGCCCAGTTTCGCTTCCATAAAGAGAACTTTCCCATATACTAAATTTTCTACGGCAGCTACCATCGCCTATCCCAAGTCTAAGTTGGTATACCTTGTCCTCTAAATGGTTCTCTCATGTCCTACACTGTTTTCTTCATTTTGTTGCATGTATATATGAAGAGCGCTTTTTATTTTTTATTTTTCTTCTGTTGATGCATGAGATTATCTAATTATTGTTCAAGATCAACTTGCTAGCATCTGGACTGATTGACTTGTTTTTTTTTTCTTTTTTTCTCTTTTTTTTTTCTGATCTTGTTAAAAGTTTATACATATGGTGAACCAAATATTGGTTATATAATAAGCTTAGGCTAATCTTTTAAATTTACATGCATTACATCTCCAAAAGTACCGTTTTTGGTCTTATTTGTCCTCGTTTGTATGAACATGTAAGAAAAGCAACCCAAATTCTCTTGTGCAGGGAAGCTAGCAAACTCGTCATCAAGAAGCCATGCTTGGCACCGGAGAAGATTGAAATCTTCAAATATTTGGATGATTATTGGTCAGAGAAGAACCTTTTGATTCATCTGAAACCGGTCAAAAAATGTTGGCAACCCCAGGATTTTCTGCCAGATCCTGCTTCGGATGGATTCATAGAGCAAATCAAGGAAATGAGAGAAAGAGCAAAAGAAATTCCTGATGAATATTTCGTTGTGCTGGTAGGGGATATGATCACGGAGGAAGCCCTCCCAACATACCAAACAATGGCATATAGGCCTGAGGGAGCTCAAGATGAAACAGGGGCCAGCCTCAATCCTTGGTCAATTTGGACGAGGTCATGGACGGCTGAGGAGAACCGACACGGTGATCTTCTCAACAGGTATCTCTATCTCTCTGGACGAGTAGACATGAGACAAGTTGAGAAGACAGTTCAGTATCTAATAGGATCTGGAATGGTAAGATTCTCTTCTCTTCTCAATTGATAGAAGCATTTTTCAGAAAACTGCACATCTACTTTGAAGATGATTTTTTATCGTTAATTAATTTTTGCTTTACAGGATACTGGCACAGGAAACGACCCTTATCTATTTCCCATTTACACATCATTTCAAGAGAGGGCAACCGCTATCTCCCATGGGAACATGGGGAGGCTGGCCAAGGAGAAAGGAGACTTGAAATTATCTCAAATCTGCGGCACCATTGCAGCAGACGAAAAGCGCCACGAGACTGCATATGGTAAGTTAGTAGGAAAGTTGTTCGAGCTGGATCCTGACGGAACTGTCCAAGCTTTTGCCTACATGATGTGGAGGAAAATCACCATGCCAGGGGAGTTGATGTATGACGACCACGACAACAACCTTTTCATGCACTTCTCAGCTGTTACCGGAAGTGTTGGGGTTTATACTTTCAGCGATTATATTGATATATTGGATGTCCTGGTGGAGAAGTGGAAAGTGAGGGATCTTACTGGACTTTCAGCTGAAGGGCAGGAGGCTCAGGAATTTGTGTGCGACCATTTGCCACGGAGACTTAGAAGGCTGGAGGAGAGAGCTGAAAAAAGGGCCAAGAAGAAAAGACAAACTATTCCATTTAGCTGGATCTTCAACAGAGCAGTTTTACATATATATGCTTTATTTTTATTTTTCTTAACACATATTTTTAAAATTGCTATTTAATAATAATAATAATAATTATAATAATAACAACAACATCAACAATAATAAAATTT